CACCAGACTGAAGCAGTTAACCCCAACGAGGGAGCTCAACGGCGTTAGGAAACTGGGCGCGCCAGGCGTCAGTCAGGCGACCAAAACAGCGCTGCGTAGTGTGTGGCAGTCCGCACGTCTCCCCACGGCGCCCGCCGGTGCGGAGAACGTAAGTGCAGGGACCAGCACCCCCAGACCTCCCACGCCCAGCGTACCACTCACAAAGCTGCTGGGGTGACGGGGTCTCACGGGAACGCTGCTGCTGCTGGCGCTGGCTACCGCCAAAGCCTCCACGCTGCGCGGCTCCACCTCGACCAGCACCACCGCCGCCGCCACCTCCACTGCCGCTGCCGCTGCCTCCACCACCGCTGCCGCTGCCTCCACCACCTCCACCGCCGCTACCGACTCCCCCACTCCCGCCACCACCCCCACCTCCACCGCCACCCCCTCCGCCTCCTCCACTGCCTCCACCGCCGCCCCCGCCGTCCCCTCCACCACCCTTGCCCCCCTTGCCCTTGCCGCTGCGGCGCCTCCCACTAGGAGCAGACGCAGCCCCAACCTTCTCAGTGCCAACGAGGTCGACAGCAGCAGCAGAAGCAACAGAGGGCAGAAGGGGAACGGGGGAACACCCCTCAAAGAAAGGGGCGCGAGGGTCGCCACGAGAAGCACCTACAGCAACTGTGCTCTTCTCAGCTGCAGTGAGGCGCTCCTCTAGCAGGTAGGTCCGTCTGGTCATGTAGCTGCGTCCGGTCAGGTTGCTGCATCGTGCTCATGTCGGTCGCTCACCCACCGGACAACCTTAGCTTTTGTCTCCAGACATCTTCACTAAGGCCCTTCCGCCTGGTGACCACCACAGGTTTTGTCTGCAGCTAGGCTTTGCTGAGGTAGGCCCTCGGTTGCTGTATTCTTGCCTCTGTATTCTTGCTCTGCTTGTCTTGTAGTTATACATAGATCAGTGAACTCTTGAACTGGCCTTGTGGCCGCTTGCTTGTGCTCAGACTGTGTGGTGACTTTGTGATCCACCCTGAGCTTTAGCTTGACTGGTCTTGTGACCATTGGCTGCCTTGCTTGATTTGATGCCCCTCACTTACCCCGTACAGCCCAGCGGGATGATCGCCGGCACGCAGTTCACCTCGCGTAAGTTCTCCTTCACCCCCTCGGTGAGGTGCCCGCGATAGGAATCCAGAACCACCATGGAGCTCCTGGAGTGCCGACCGAAACACGGCTTCAAGAACGGCTTGACACACTCGTCGAGCCAGCGAATGACGCCCGCGGAGTCCATCCACCCGTTCTCGTGGCACGCCACGACCACATTTGCACAATAAACATCGGGATGTGAAACAAGAAATTAGTGAAACGGTAAACCAAAACGTGTGCGACACACGTCAAACAACCATCACTTACCTGGCGGAAAGTCGCCCTTCGGCAGCGTCTTCCTCTTGAAAAAAACCCACGGCTTGAGCTTGGCACCGTCCGCCGTGCAGGCCAACATCACGGTCACTCGCTCCTTCTGGTACCCGGCACTCCTGATGGGCACCGAGCGAACGCCCGCTTGCTCAACGGTCGTGGTGGCGGGCATCTCCAGCCAGAGAGGAGTTTGGTCGGCGTTGATGATCCACGTGGTCTCGATGCCGCGCTCGCGTCGCTTGTCTCGGACGAACTGCCAAAAACTCTTGCACGGCTCCGCGACATCTGCGAGACGGTGGGAGACAGGGCGAAACACACGGGTGCAATTAGTACATCTCATGGTAAAGCACAAACAATTACCGTATGCAAACACAATCTTACGAGCGGCGGTTTTCTGTGCAACCCTTGTCTTCATGCGGACGCTTAGATTCCAGCGCTCCCGAAACCCCCGACCACCGTTGACTCCCCTTCCACTTCTCCAGAGGGTAGAGAACCTTCATAAACTCCTTCGACCACTCCTGCAGGCGGCCCTTCGACACGGCACTTCCTTTGCGGCGCCACTCGAGGAGTCGCTCGTACACCTTCATCTCCATCGGTCGGTACCACGACGATCTCCCGCGACCGTGCATCCGCTTCCGTGCGGAGTGAGCTTCCTTCAGGAATTCCGCTGAACGCTTCCAGTTGGAGAGGCACTTGCGGTGTATGCCGCTCTCGCGAGCCAACGCACGCACCGAAACCGCCACCTACAGAAGCGCGACATACTTCAGTTTCTCGGCGGCGGTATAGGCTTGACGCTTGTGATCGTTGAGCTTATGCCTGGGAGAGGGGGGGCGGGCATCACGGTTCTGTGTAGCAGGGTGGGGTCGCTTGCGATTAGTAAGAGGGTAGGTAGGTATCGGCAACTTCTCTGGGAGCCCGTCGCGTGACCAGTACTCAACACCGTCATCCTCGTCGCCGCCCGGCGCACCCTCGGGAAACACATCCTCAGCGGTGCCGGCCTCGGTGTCAGTCTCCATGCCACCCTCGGCGCCTTTGCCGCCCTCCTCGAGACTCTCCTCCTCAGCGTCAGGGACATCGTCATCGGCGCCGACTGCAGATTCGTCCCACGTACAATCGTCGGGACGGCCCCAGCGCTGTCCCGGCACATATTCAACATCCACATACTCATCTGTGGGCTTCTTGGACTCTGGTTCCGAGAGGTATTCGTCGAACGCCGATGGGAACAGAAGCGTGAGCACGGGAGGATTGCCCGTGTGAACAGGAGACACCGACAACGGGTGAAAAGGAGGAACAGGAGGAACAGGAGGCGCAGGAGGCGCAGGAGGAGCAGGAGGAGCAAGCGGCGCAGGAGGCGCTGGAGGCTGTGGTGGCTCTGGTGGGCTAGGTGGGACACGGGAGTACCATCCGTCCGCGTCAACTACAAAGGCGGGCTTACGGGTGGGTTTCCTCTTGAACAAGAAATGCGTGCCCGAGAATTCCGCCATGGCTTCCGCAGCATGGCGGGAGAGAGCAAGAATCTGAATGAGAAAGTGAAAGAATTGGAGAAGAAATGAGGGTTTGGAGGGGACCCCTTCTGGTGTGCGGCTCGAGTTCCTCTTCAGGGATAGTCGGATCCCCCCCTGCCTAAACCCGCAGAGGAGGGAATCGCGGTACGTATCTGCTGCGCTGGCAGGGATATTCCACCCCCTTCTCGAATGTTCGGGTGAAATGTGGCACCCTGGCAGCGCATGACATTCCTATTGGGCCGCACGGCAGGATGCACGTCATCGCTGGCAGGTGCGTTGCTCCGGGACAGGCGTTGTGCGGTGGGAAATCGAGTCGCGGCTGGTTTCGGCGGGATTTCATGCACGAGCCCATGCGCACAGTACATGGTCTTGTTCGCCTTATTGAGGGCTTCAGTTTCGTACATCTAAAAACAAAAACCATTTTTGACATTATAAAAGCGCCGGCGCTTATGTCCGTTACTCAATTACAAGCGCCACCCCTAAAAAAAAAGAATTTATTATAAGCGCATATGCGCTTATATCCGGGGCTAGACAGTACCATGTGTTTGCCTGCGAGTCTCATTATTCATCTATTCAGTGTCTGAGGCAGTGTCATAAGATACAGCAGTTATCAAGCTCATGGTGCTTGAGCAAGGTATGGTAGTGTCTGCCCCGGTGTGAGAGGAAGAGAGGATGTGGAAACCTAAGTATACAAAAGCAGTGTAGAACCAATAACCTGTCAAATCATCAGAGTGGAAAAAAAAAATATGCCTGCTTCCTTATTCTGATCACTGGGGTCACCAGAAGCACTGCCAAGCGGAGCAAGGGCTGCTCTTTCCTTCCTAAGTGACCCCCAGCATCTTTATTCACTACCACTTGAACTCATTCTTTATTTTCCAGCTCTAAGCCTCTGGCCCCGACATTCCGTTCGAATCAACTTCAACTGTTACTTTCTGGAGAACTGACCGCGCACGGTGCCATCAGGGTACTTCTTGGTGTGGATATTCCCGTAGAACCCACTCGGCTGATGAGCGATCTTCATCAGATCCGACACCTGCGAATGCGAGAGGGCCTTCTCCTGCCCAATCACGCCCTCGCAGCGCCAGTCGTTGTTGCTCTTCTTTTCGTACTTGCACGGCAGGTCGAGCAGCGCGTGGTGGTTCTGCCCCTTGACGCCCACTTGGATGTGCGTCTTGGTGGGTGGCATCTCGCCCTCCAGCTTCGACGCCTTCACTACCACACGAGCTTGTCATCCTTCCTGATCACATGTGGCACCACCAGGGGTGTTGGAACAAAAAGAAAGGGGACTTTAGTATCAGCTGATCGCAGGAAAGAAGGACAGAACTTCATGTTCTTGAAACATCTGCCCCATGCCGCTTTTGTCATTGACGGCGTTCCTAGCAGCAGCGGAGTTACCCTTGGGAACCTCGTTGGCGCCAATCAGCTTCGCCGTGAAGGTGTCTGTCGGAGTCACGAGAGCGAGAGGGAGTGTAAGTCGACGATTGGAGAGCAGGGATCCGAAAGGGAGACGATGCTGAGCGACAAGATGAGGAAGGGCGACGGGAGAATGAGTCAAGGAAAGGGTAGAGCGACGGGCGGAGCGCGAAGCACTGACCAGTTTTTTTCAGTTGACTGTGATCATTGTGATCATTGTGGTCTGCGTAGGCAACGGCCACCAGCACCGCGAAGAACGCTGCACGCACTAAGACACATGCGATGGAAACACAGGCGATCAGGTTACCATGCAGCGAAAACGCCATCAAAGTGCTTGTACACCATCGTAACAAGCGTTGTGTCATCAACGACATGGAATCAGAGACATCGGACACTGACTCAATGCCAGTGCACATTGCACGGGCCTGGACATAGCCATCAAAGCAACGAGCCCGACGCAGATTGACGCTTTGGAGTGGTACTACTGGTAGTTGTTGTAACGCTTACCTAAGAGTAAGACGCGGCGAGTCAGAGTGAAGGCCATGATTCGGAAGCGAGATCCAATTCGAATTGCAAGAGGAAAAGAGTAAGTTGCTTGAAGAGAGAAAAGCCGATTTTCGCTGGATGATTTTCTACGAACTCGAACTCCGACTTTATAGTAATGTTGAGAGCCTGGATTACGAATGGGGAACGAACCGTGGCTTGCGGGTGAGGGGGTGAGCAGGAGTGACGGGTGCGACTCGCTTGAAGCTGCAGCGCGAGGAGACATCTCGAATCGGAGGTGCGTCGTGCTCGCCTCGTATAATTGCGAAGCACTGAAAACCACGTGAGCAGATCGCGGTGCGATTCGCCATATTCTGGCTTGGTCGGCAATTATCAGGGATTTCAGATTCTGAGAAACGTTCTTCCCAATCATTGCAGCACTCTGCGAGGAGCACAGGTGAGGGGTCGCAGCGACGATATCAAGACACACAATTGTAAGTCGCCACGAAGAACGAACCCGCTACTCGTACAGTTCAGTTATTGGTTTGAATCACAAAAGTGTTCAGATTGCCAAGCAGATGTGACAAGTGGGAAATATGGCACTCGGGTATTGCTCTTCGTGTATATGTGTGTGCGATCATATTCGTACAACTGGACTGGTAATGAGAGTTCTAATGTGCGATCTCATAATTGTTGGAAGAACCGAAAAGTTTCTACAGCATTCTAAAATGTATAACCCGAATAGCGAAGCTGCGCCTGTACCACACCACTGTCGCGTGGTAGCTCATATAGAGCACGCAGGTCAACAGTTGCAAGTCAACAATTGATCAACCGGGACCAGAGGTTGCGAACTGCTTCGCATGTCGCAATCGTCTCGGAGGTTACGAGCTGCAACGAGGTGTTAGAATTGATATTCTCGCATCCATAATTGTCAGTGTAGTATCACTGTAGCATTCTGTCTATTGGTGGTGTACCTCCCTTTGCCACATTTCCCCTTTCTATATCATGTATCTCTTCCAATAGTAAAACCGCTTCTCTAAACTATCCCTCTCTCTACTCACACCACTCACGTTACTACTCAAGCTATGGCTACTAAACCTACTAAATTCTAGCCCTAATTCGGACATGCTATCAAAGCCTGGTCCTTCATAGGACCTATTTTTAATGGGCCCACCCGATCCGCCATCTGCCATGGCGGCCTATCGAGTTGCTGGCTCGAAATACTCTAGTGGCACTGTTTTTGCTGCTTTTACTGCACCAGCGCGTCCCGTCGCCTCGCCCCTTCGCGGTTTTCGTCCCAGTCGCCAGCGCTAGCGTCAGCGACATGCGCCAGCGCCAGCGACGGTCGCACGCGCCAGCAACGGTCGCGTGCGCCAGCGCAAGCGATGGTCGCCAGCCCCAGCGACGGTCGCGTGCGCCAGCGCCAGCGCCGACAGTCGCCAGCGCTCCTGTCCACTCCAGCCCGCTCCCCACCCTCCTTTCTGCCGCGCCCTGCCACGACGGACCCTTGGGGCGGGGGGGATGGCGGGATTGGCAGCCGGGGCTGCGAGGGTACTGAAGCCCCCTTGAACCTCCCCACCCCTCCCTTATCTTCCTCCTCATCGCTGCAGCAGCTTTTGCAGTGCGTGCCACGTTGGAGGGGGGGGGGGAGGGGAGAGGGTCTGGGGGTGGCGGGTGACCTCCTCGTTACCGTCGTTTCTGGGCGTAGTCGCCCCCGATGCGCACACCGGCACCCGCTGCAGAGGTTAAACCGCAGGCGGGCACCTGCCGTGGGAGTCAACCACGGTGGTCCCAGCTGCGACTCGGTGCCTGCAGCACTTTGGGTAGAGCGCCCCTCACTAGCTAGTCATGCACGTAGTTAAGGGGGGATGTTAGAATTGCATATTCTTATATTATTGCATGCATAACTGTCAGTGTAGTATCACTGTAGCATTCTGTCTATAGGTGGTGTCACTACTCAAACTATGGCTACTAAACCTACTAAGTTCTAGCCCTAATTTGACACGAGGTAACCGAAAAGATCTCAATAGTCACTCCAACTGTTGCGATGCATGTATTACCGTAAGGCTCCGAATATAAGCGGGGGCCTATTATAAGCGCATGCGCTTCTATCTCGAGCACTGCGCTTATGACCGGTCCTCGATTATAAGCGCACCCCCTAAAATACATGATTTTGTCAAACTATGTGTGTAAATATGTTAAATCTGTTAGGCTATAGTGAGGTGCATGTTATAGGGTATAGGTTTCTCTCGACATTTGCACTTGTACCCCCTCCCTCACTAGTCAACACCATTCTCCCTAGTTACCTAGCTCACTTAGTCTCTAAGATGGTAGCAGAGCCCAAGCTGAAACAATACCCCTGAGTAGACCGCTGAGACTCGACGTCGTCGGCGTAGGAAGAGTCGCAGTGACCGGTCAGTACAACTGGATGTGTCCCTCCAAGCACAAGCCACATGCCTGATGTAGTTTCTAGGTACTTCGCTACCGTCACAGCTGCCGTCTAGTGAGCAGGACGGTGCCTCCCAGTCGCAACAAAGCGAGCCCGGATGCTGAGAGGAAAGGCGAGTTCCGGACGAGTACATGTCATCAGGTACATGAGGCAGCCCACAAGCTCTGCGTAGGGACCACTGGACTCAAAGGGCTCGTAAGGAACAGGAGCGGTGAGCCTGTGGTCAACGGCAAGAGGAGAGGGCTGTGCGACAGAGAACTGGAATCCGAACCGCCGAAGGACCTGCTGCACCATGTGTGACTGGGTCAGAGTGATGGTGCGAACGGCTTTGTCCCATGTGATATGCAAGCCAAGGTAGCGGCACAGCTCACTAAGATCAGTGCACGTGTGTCTCTTCTGCAGTCCGGACTTCACCTTAGCCAGAGCAACCCTGCCTGCTGTAGTGAAGACCAAGTCGTCGACATAGACGAGGACAAAGAAGGGTGTGGGCCCAGAACGAAGGAACATCGACGGGTTGGCGGACACAGGACGGAACCCGAGGTCAGCAAGGGTGGTGCGTAGCGTGTTGTGCCACTCACGGGGCGCCTAGCGGAGACAGTAGACCGGTCATCTAAGGCTCCACTGGGTCCCAAGCGGGAAAGTGCCTGTGAATCCAGGAGGACGACGCAACCAGATCTCCTCGTGCAGGTGGCCCTGGAGAAAGGCCGTGGAGAAGTCGAGGGAGTGCAGCTCGTAGTCTTGCTGTGCTGCAACGTGAAGTAACACCCGAAGAGTAGTCATCTTCGGGGTCGGGGCGAAGGTTTGGAAGAAGTCAACTCCCTCACGCTGACTGAAGCCTCTAGCCACGTAGTGCGCTGTGAAAACATGCGGCGATCCTGGCGGCCGCTTCACCTTGAGGATCCACATGCCATCGACTACATTCGCCCCAGGAGGGGGAACTGCGTCGACGTAGGTGCCTGTTGATTTCCAAGACGCCAACTCTGAGTCCATAGCCGCTATCCATTAAGATGCCCACTCACCTGACACTGCCTCACAGTACGTGCGAGGAGTCGGTATGTCAAGGGCGTCGAGGTCTCCCTCAAGGGCTAGCAGCATGGCACATAGATGGGGAGAAGCGGCTACCAAGAACTCCAGCTCAAACTGCCTGTCCTCTAAGACGTCACAGCCCAAGGCAGACACACCCTCCGCGGACAGAGGACGGGTAAGGGGAGCATCCACCACACGGGTGGCGTAGTCAAGGCGGCGAGTGGCAGCAAAGTCACCGACAGCGGCAACAAGAGCCGAGACAGATGACTGAGAAGCATTATGGTCCGTGACAAGAGAGGCAAGAACACGCGAGACAACAGGACGAGTAGTGCGGTAGTAGTGAGTGGTAGGGTGAGAGGAGGCTATAAGAGACGACTCAGGAGGTGACGGGAGAATAGACTGAGGTGGATAACGACGAGGACTCGAACCCAACAAGACAATACGAAGGTCGTCAACAGTAGACGTGGGACGGGCACAAGAGGGACGACAAGGGGTCCAGAAGTGCGGGACAACAGGAGGAGACAACTGTGAAAGAGGAGGAGAGAAGACAGCCGGGGACGAGTCCAAAGGAGGAAGGCCATGTGCAGTAGGAGGTGGTGAGTGGTCCGGGAAGGAAGAAGGGAGACCAAGGGCCGGGAGGCCACTGACAGGCGGGAACAACTGCTGCAAAGCTGAAGGATGCGGCGTCTGGTGCTGTTGCTAGTGCAACTCCTGCTTCTGCAGCTCCTGCTGCTGCTGCTCCAGCTTCAGGCTCTCTTGCTCCAACCTCTCCTGCTCTGCACGCTCCAGCTGACGTATAGTCTGAAGACGCGTGCCGTAGAGGTAAGGAGGTGGGGTAGGCGCCGGTGAGACATGAGACCAGAGGTTCAGCTGGTGGGCGGCGTAGCGAACCGCGTAGGGAAACAGAAAATGGGGCGCACGGGCATGGATCATGGAAGTGCGACGATCTCCATGACCAAGCCGATGCGGCGCTGAGCAACCCCATTATGCTGTGGGGACTCTGGAAGTGTCCACGACTGGGTGATGCCCTGCTCGCTGCAGAATCCGTGAAAAATGCCAGAGCAAAACTCACCCCCACAGTGGGAGTGGAGACAAAGGACACGACTACCACGAGTGGCTTCAGTGGTCAGTAACCACCTGATCAGCGTAAAAGTCACATCGGACTTCTTCACCAGAAGGAACACCGTGGTGGAACGGGAGTAGTCGTCAACGACCATCGGAAAGACGCTCTCCCTCTCAAGCCTAGGGCGAGGGGCGGGGCCCCAGACGTCCAAGTAAAGAGTCTGGAAGGGCGCGGTGGCCGGACGAAGGGAGGAGGAGTGAGGGGCGTGAAAACGGCCTCGGCGCTGACCCTGACGCGCGCCCGTCTGAACCACGTACGGGCAGGGAGGCGAAGTGACACCACGCTGGACTCTCGCGCCTCTCAGTGCTTCTTCCGCGACCACACGACTCTCACTCCGCGTCCTGCTCTGGTTCCGGTTGCACTGGCTGATCCTACTTCAGGACCAGCAGTTGCACGCTGCTCTACCACCCTCCCGTGCCCCGCTGTCCCCTCTGGTGTCCTCACTGGTTTCCACATCCCCTTGTTCTCCAGGAACTTGGTGGGTGTTGGATACCTTTAGGACCGCCACATCGGGTCTGGTTGTTTCCGTCTGAGCGTGACGGTGACACCTACGCTCCCCTGGCCTCGTTTTGCCGGGAGCCCCGCTTCGGTCTCTTCACACTGCACACTGACTCTCCCCAGGTAGGTCCGTCTGGTCATGTAGCTGCGTCCGGTCAGGTTGCTGCATCGTGCTCATGTCGGTCGCTCA